AAAGACCCTGTGGGACATGGGGGGGGGGGGGTTAGGACGTCCATTTTTCTTTGACCCCGTAAGACGCAAAACCTGTAGTTTTATGGAGGTGTACGCAGGGCTGTTTTTGCTGCGTGCAACGTGAATAAAAATGTCCGTGCTGAAAGAGTGCGGCCCATTCTCTGCCTGCTCACTAGGACCCATTTGGCCACCCAGATTCCCCTGTTATGGATACGTGAGTCTCAGCTGGCCACCAGATGCACTCAGGCCGCCTTGGGGACTTAAAAGGTACTCTGGGCCCGCCTGTCATTTAAAAGTCCCTTCAGCACACGAAGCAACCTCGGAAATACCTCAGCCGTCTCAGACCATTTCAGTGTGTGGTTCAGATGTGTGCCGGAAAGCCAGAGAAACAGACTCGATTCTTCTCTGTGCCCACTCTTTTTGCCAGAAAGAGAAGCAGGTGGCGCCATTTAGCCTAAAGTCTCAGAAGCACCGTGCGATGTAAAGCTCCCGATGGCAACATCCGCTGACAAGCCGCACTGACCTCTCGACCTTTTGCGTATTCGGGGCCCCTCCGGTCGTTCACTTGCCGTTTTAGAGAGTTCAGTGCCCTTCTGGCCGCCGAGGGGCCCCTCTGGCTACTGACAAGCCTCTTATGGATGGGGTCTCTGTCTAACAGCTTAGGGATTTTTCTGGTCGGCCAAACCCCCAGGTCACGAAGGAGAAATATTGTACGTTTGTGGGCTATTCCGGCCACCGAAATGTGTGGTTGGTTGCTGATGGCCCACTGGCTGCTCTGGGACCAATCTTATCTCCAGAGCATATATCCGTAATTAAACAACCCTTCCGGACCCCGTTTTTTTTGTTGGGGGGGGGGGGGAAATAAGTACTCAGGGCCCACGGTCCGTTTAGGACCCCATAAGGAGCTCAATGCTCTTTATATCCGCATGACTCTCTGTAAAATTGAGGTCATTTTAGATGCACACGGGCTAAATTACCTCTTAAATGCCACCTGGTTACCACGGAGCACCTCCGTTGTTTCCAAAAGCGGCTCAGTCTGATACGTGACCTTGTTAATAAGTCCCCGCCCGCGTAAAAGTGTGCCGAAAGGCTGCGGTCCTGGCTCAGACGGTAAAATCCGAGTGCAGTCAGACAGAGCTGTTGCTATGCGCTCCCTAGCAAAGCTTAAGCATTAAAGGGCGTGCTCCATATTTATATAGGGTTTTGACCTGAAATGGCCATCTTGAAGACCTTTCGATGCTGTTCACAATTCTGCCATTCTTAAGACCTAAGCCCCTGTAGTTTATGAGCTACACGCACGCGAAGATATGCAGGCTATTTCGAGGAGACCATTTCAAGGTCTCCCAGGCTTCCATGACGACATCATAGCTACATTTAAATCACGTCATTCCATAAACCATGCGGCAATCAAGGCCAAAAAATATAACTGTCATGTAGTTTATATCTGGCGTTCGTAAGCGCGATTTCCGAATATAGCGGTCGTCAATTGGCTCTCAATCAATGTTGTGCAAGGTACGACGACGTAATCAAGCCATGACGCATTGAGGAGCATAGTTACTCAGAAGAGAATTGTGCTGTGTAGAGCAGTCTTATCTGTTTAAAAATACACCAGTCGTTCTAAGTGAGTTTGTTTCATTGTATCTGATGAGGGGCTTCAGTATTTTCAAATGTGGAACATTCCTGTTAACAATGACGATCAAACCCTATTTTAGTTAGCTGGGATTTAATTATGCTGCTTAAAACGGAGCTGCTGTTTACCATATATTGAGCAAAACCTTGGTACATCCTGCGCGGGAAATATATTGAAGTGCGTCTCAAAACTGGGCAGTGCATGCCATTGTTCAGTTACCAATATACGTGCAGTTTTATTTGCGTGAGATTGTGTCAATATATTCAGGCAATGGTTCAAGTATCGACAGACGCATGACTTCAACAAAACTAGCAATTTCGCGCCGTCGGTGCGTCTAAATCAAGAAACGAACCGTTGAGCCCCTGTATGCAAAGGGTAAAAGAGATCGCTAGGATCGGCGATAGCTGTTTTGTGTCGTGTTGGTGGAAACACGTGTCATTTCATTGTTCAGACGGCGGGGAATCATAAGGCCTGGCCCGGAATTTCTGGTACCTTTGGCTTGTCAAAACACGCACCAGTTTCCTGAGGTTGGGCTGCAGCCGTGAATGATTGTTTTGGCTTTGCTCAGGGTGACAAGAATATGAAACAACCGTTATTTGCTTTCCTCAAACAATTCTGCGAACCCATCTTTCCGTGGCCCCGATCCATCCTTCTTCCAGCATGTCCCCGCTACCTTTTGCCCAGCATTTGCACAGTCGTTTTCATCTCAATCTGAGCCCAGCCCGGATCCCAATCTATCGCTTCCTTCTTTCTCGACAGCCAAGAAACCCATTCTAATCGCTGTGGCACATCAAAAAGCGCCTCCAGGCAACATACGTCGCACCAGGCATGGAGCACGCCTTAGGTATGGCGGAGGGCATGAAAATGGGTGCGGTGGGGTTCGAAGCACACACGTGGTTTACATAACAGGGCATGACCTCGACGAGGCCGGCCTGTTTGACGTCATCACCCGGTGCTACCCGGTTGGAATTTTGTCATGTTCTCAGCTGCCAAGACAGTCGAGGTCCTTCGCCTTTGTTCGCGGTCGATGATAGTAAATCCAGCCGCAGATCAAGCTCAAACGCGAGGCCACGGCAAGTTCCGAAGATGGAAGAAGACTACCTTTGTGATTGAACTATCACATTGTGTGGGTCAGGTGTACCTGCATTCTTCGCAGCAACAGCTATCCTGGCATGAATTAACTGACATTGTTTAAATGAACGTTTCGGTTGTGTGCATAATAACGCATGTTGCGGTGATAAAGAGGCTTTCGGTGATCCGCTGATTTCTTATTTCGCTGCTGGGCATAGACATTGTCATTTCTCGTCACATGATATGGCGTCACGCTGCTGGCGACAATTTTGTCCGCAGAAATTCGGTCGGCAAAAAAATGCACCTTTACCACCCCTACTCCAGTCAGTATTGGGGGTTCGCCCCCCCCCCCCCCGCCCCTTTGAAAGCATTCAAAGTGATACCCCTGCCAGCACTGCTCAAAATCCGAAGCACATGTACGCGAACGCGCTGCCATAAACCGAGCTCGAGTGTGGAGGGTGGAGAGTTACGTGCAACACAGAATTGGCCGCAGTTCTTCAAATAAGTAGCAGTGCGTAGTTTTGTGGGGCGCTTGCGTCACCCTTGTATGGGATTTTCCACCGGATATGCTTAAATTATTCCACATTTCAATATACGCGTGCCACCACTGAGGTGTGACGGTAGCATTGATGTAGCACATTTTGTAGTACAATTCTGTCACCTGCAGGAAATTTTCTCGATGGAAACTACCAAATTCGGAAGCATTTGGTGATGTAGCTTGCTCATGCAGCAAAAGGTCAATGTTCTGAAATATGCTCTACGCAGGCTCATGCTGCAAGCGTTAGATAGTACAGAACAATGTTCAGCTTTGTGTGCCGTCTGACTAACATGCTGTAATTTAATTCGATTTTACCATTTTGTCATTAATTACAAAACTGAACATTTTTGTCACCGATAGGTTGCGGTGCACAAAACAAGAGTGTTTGAAAAATGGTTTCGGTCGGTATCCGTGAGTGAGATCCAACGTGTTTGACAGGGCTGGTTCAGTTGCATAGATGAACATCCGAACAAACATCTTAGCCGCTGGTGCATTTGCATTTCTGGATCATTTACTGCGTATTCTTCGACGCTTGCTGCTTGTTGGAGCATGTTCAATTTACGGTAGAGAAGACAAAAATGATCTGCCAGTTTGACTAAGCCCATTTGATCTTGAGAGCAGTTGGACGACATCCGAAAACCAGGCGCGTTTTCCAGCATCTATGTTGTCATTAATACAACCCCTTGACGTGGTGTTATTCAATACTGGATGTTCGTCGTCGCGAGACGCATTTGGCAGGCCCAAAGAAGGTATCTAATGCTCCATTCATTGAATGGGTAAAGTCGGCATCCACAACAGGGACCGAGTGTCCCTCACAGTTCTGCTTCAGCACCTTCAACAAAAAAGGATGCTTTTCCGGCGCATATTCGTCTGACATGACACCGTTACAAAGAAGTTTTCAATGAGGGTGGGTTGTTGGCGTGTGGTGTGCAATGCACCAGCGTTTTGAGAACAGTCGTGATTTGTTTCTGCAGTCTGACTGAACGCATTTTGTTGTAATATTTCGGAGAAGAATTTTGCAAGATCGGGTTTTTTTACTTGCCTCTTGATTTTGGGAAATGTGAACATCGAACTCCTGCCAGCTTATCGACATCTGTCAACTTGATTCACGCGATGGGCTGTAGAACTTACAGAACTCGACAGCAAGTCGCTGGCCGATTATTTCTAGAATGCATCAACCGAACTATACCTGCAATAAAACACCATTGCAACAGAGCATTTCTCCGCGCGCGTGTGCAGAACACACGTTGAGGGCAGTGTTCCCTGAGATGTTTGCCAGTGATACGTCAGCTCGGCGGGCGGGCAGACCGACTCGTGTTCCCGGCCGAGCGTCTGCTGCGTCGCCGGCGGACCTCCCGCGGTCGGGTCGGCCGTCAAGGTCCTTAACGTCGGCACAGTAGCCCGGAGGGGCGCGTGCTCCTGCGCCCTCGCCCGCAGACACACCCCAACGGGGCGCGCCTGTGCGAGCGAGCCGGCGGTGTAAACCCGGCGCGGAGCGGCCGGTGTGGTTCGATCTCAGCTCGCCGCGGCCCCTCCATGCTTCGCCGAGTGGCGCTGGTGGTGGTGGTGGCGGCGCTGTGCGGCGGTTCGCCGCTGCTCCGGCTGGCCCCGCGACTCGGCTGGTCGGCCGCGGCGCCGCTCTCGGTCGCGCTCCAGCTGACCTCGGCCGAGCTGTCGCCGTCCGGGGTCAGCCCGCTGCCGGCCTGCGCGGCCGGGCACGCCGACCCGGCGCGGCCGGCCGCCAGCGTGCACCGGCTGCGGCCGGGCGACCTGGCTGTGGTGGCCGCCATCGGCGACAGCCTGTCGGCCGGCAGCGGCGCCCGGTCCTGGCTGATGGCGGACGTCGGCCGCGCCTACCGAGGCCACGCCTGGAGCGGCGGCGGCGCGACCGGCTCGCTCACGCTGCCTAACATCCTGCGCCGCTTCGCGCCAGGCCTGCGCGGCGCGGCGGCCGGCGCCGACGCGGCCGGCTTCAATCTGGCCGTGCCAGGCGCAGAGCACGACAGCTTGGTTCGCCAGGCAGCCGCGCTGCTGCGCCAGCTCCGCGACCATCCCGACGTCGACTTCAAGCGCGACTGGAAGCTGGTGACGGTCATGATCGGCGGCAACAACATCTGCCGCCAGTGCTGGCGTGCCGGCAGCGCCAGCTCCTCGGCACAGAGTCACGTGAGGGCGCTGCGCTCGGCGCTGGACCTGTTGCACAGCCAGCTGCCGCGCGCCTTCGTCAACCTGGTGCCGGTGGTGGACATGAGTCAGCTGCAGCGTGTGAAGCGTGACCCGTTCTGCCAGGCAGCGCTGGCGGTTCTATGTCCGTGTCTGGCCGGCGGCCGGCGGCAGAACGAGGTACGCGCCCTGGTGCGCCAGTACCAGCGTGCTGCGCTCCGTCTGCTGGAGACGGGCCGCTACGACACGCGCGACGACTTCACGGTGGTTGAGCAGCCGTTCACCGTGCATGGGGCGATCCCGACGCGGCGCGGCGTGGTCGACCCGGCCTTCCTCGCCGTCGACTGTTTCCACCCGAGCGTCTGGGGTCACGAGTACCTGGCCAAGATGCTGTGGAACAGCATGCTGACCCCGCTTGCGGAGAAAGTGGAGCAGGGCCGAAACAGCTCCGATCAGATCAAGTGCCCCGACCCCGAGCACCCGTTCCTCCCAACGAGGAAAAATTCGCCGAACGTCAGCAGTGCCGCGTTGTAAATATACATCAGCTATTGTTGGTCTGTGTTCAGCCCACGAGCAGCGGTCCCCTACGAGTGGAGCATACGGGGCGCCGCAACTGCCCGCCACCAGTAGGAAGCTGAGCCAAAATAAAGCGTAGAATCACAAACCGACAAAAAATCGACAAACCAAAAAAGCACAAAAAATAAACGTAAAAATGCCGTCATTTAAGTGTGAGTGTGTGAAGGGGGAGGGGCGGCATGCATGTATGCGCATGTGCATGCATTTGTGGCATCCGAAGCAACTCTTAAAATTGCACGTTAACTATGCTCCAACTCTCATTACAACAACGGCACCCCTGTGGACCGGCGGACAGCGGCGTACGCACACAACCTCTGGGGGCACGTGTCCTCCCATTTTACCACATTGATAACATTTAGTTAACATCTATGAGACGAAATTATTGATGACTCAAAATGCTATGAAGACACGTAAAGATCCAATCAAGAACAGGCGGCGTTCTATACGATACGCGCAATATTGCGCGCCACCGCCGCGCGCTAAATTTAGTTTTCAGTGAAACTCTGGTTGTGCCTCCTCTGCTATTGTGAAATACTGTGTAACCGGGATCGTAATCGTAACCTTGCGAAATCCGCGCACGTGACCGCGCCAGATTTGCCCTGGTGTGCGCTGATTTGACCCACTGATTGGCCTTACGCTAGGTAGCTATATTAACCCCATGTAGTTTTGTAGCATTAGATTGACATGGAGAGTAACATGAGCGACCCGCCATTAGCCATACCTGGTACCAAATACTTTCATTTCCTCCACTTTTAAGGTATTCTTATGTGTCGTAGCTCCTTACCACTAACCTGGAAAGAACTATACTTCTGCGTTATCCTTGCCTCTTTGTTGGCGACTTTCATATTTCTTACCAGAGTACGGTGGCTTTGCAACATCCCGTTCCGTATTTGGGCGTGTAAGTGTGGTTCGATGCGCCGCGGCGGGTGGGGAGGGCACTCGTGTAATCTTTTTTTCAACTTTGTTGCTATTTTTTAACATCACATGCACGTACATTATATATATATATATATATATATATATATGTGTGTGTGTACATATAGATTGTATGTATGTTTATATAGTACATACCTATATATATATATATATATATATATATATATATGTGTGTATATATTACCTTTATCCCTGTAATTTTTTCATATGATTGAAATTGACACAGCACATTAAGACTGCTTCGCGGCACTGGAGACGAGCGGCGTGCCAACACGCACCAACTGGTGTGAGCTCCATAGGTGCGCATGATCTCCATAGGTGGGGAGGGGTATGGCCTCACTGTATATCTTCAGAGCTGAATAATGTGATATCATGCTCTTTCACCGGCAATGGTACCTTATCTATACGACGAGGGACGATGTTGGGACGGAAGCCATGTTCTTTAAGTTAGCTTCCTGCAGTGTTTAATCAGCAGTGTTTTACCCCCGGGAGCAGCGGGAGGGTATCACGCACTTGCAGGGATACGCAATCTGCACTGTGATCAAGCATCCCTAGATGGTTTATCGACCCAGTGATCCTAGCACCAACAGCTATGACGCATGTGCTGCACAGCGACCTGACAAGGTCTCTGTAAGCGGTGTATAACAAGGGCGTGTGACGCAGAGCGTGTGGAAGTCTGAGCAACGCCGCCAGCACACAGATTATAGATAAGACACCGCCGTGGCTTCGCCTCCCAATCAAACGTAGCAGTAGCTGCGTCAGAACGCAGTTACATGTGCGCTCTGTGATGTGTAGATCATGCTGACACGGACTCATGTTGTGTATGACTGAGATGTAGAGGCGTGTAATTATATGTGTATGTAGACCATGTGCTGTATGTCCCACGGCCGCTTCGGAATGCAGTGCAGCGTTTCAAAGACAAACATCTGGATCGGACTATTGGGCCATAACCCTGCGGCCGAGGCATCCTGCGCGATAATTATTCAGCTCGGCGGACTTCGGGGACCTGACCACTGGGACTGCGCGGTTCACGAGAGCGACGGGAGGCCAGAGAACTGGCAATCACAGTGGAGGTTCCGCCCGCACTGGGACTGTGTAGTTCACGAGAGCGACGAGAGGACAGATATCTGGCAATCACAGCGGGGTTCTGCCCGCACGGGAAGTGTGCAGTTCACGAGAGCGACGAGAGGACAGAGATCTTGTAATCACAGCGGAGGTTCCGTCCGCACCGGAACTGTGTAGTTCACGAGAGCAGCTGGAGGGCAGAGATCTGACAATCACAGCGGAGGTTCCGCCCGTACCGGAACTGTGCACTTCACGAGAGCAACTGGAGGACAGAGATCTGACAATCACAGCGGAGGTTCCGCCCGCACGGGAGCTGTGCAGTTCACGAGAGCAACTGAAGGACAGAGATCTGACAATCACAGCGGAGGTTCCGCCCGCACCGTAACTGTGCAGCAGAGCCTTCGTCTGGCCATAAGCTACGAATATAGAGATAGGCATTCGCCATTCGTCGTGTATTCAAGTCATGAGATGCTCGTAACGATGCTAAACTTGTGTCCACGCATGGACTTGCTGCCTTTGCACTTCGGCGCTGATTAACAACACGTATCTTAGCGAACATCCAACGGCCAACCGGTGCCAACGGCATTAACAACAAACGGCCTAGAGCTTAGCCGCTATGGTAAAGATCGCACGATCACTGCCTACAACCACCATTTCATGTTCATAATTCATGCGTAGACCGGCATAACCACCCGTCATCACGAACGATCACTGACAAACAGACCGCAACGGACACGCCTGTTTGCATGTCTCCCGTGATTTAATATAAACTAGAAATGTCATTCCTGTTGAGCAAGTGCACACTTCCTGAGATGCTTCACGGGGCAGCAACACACTGACATCACCCGAACACCGGCAATAGGCACCTCAATGTCGCGCCTCCAGTTCAGAGCATTACATCGTAAAACTGTTAAAACAGTCTCAGGAATCGGCGCTGGAAGGGCCACAAACACATCACTTCTCACGCTCCTGCCATGATCTAAACGGAGTAGTCCCCTGCCAATGGCAGCTGCACGAGCCAAAGCTACGTGCTAAAGCTCCACCAAAGCTAAATTTTTCGGCAATGATACTGGCAGCGAGGCAAGTTGAAACGAGACGTCGATCCGTCATAAACACGTTTGCCTAGTAGGTCGCTGTAATATGTCGGAGGCACGGCGCACGACGTGTTCCGTTTGATTGCGCTATATCGGAGGCACGGCGCAAGACGTGTTCCGTTTGATTGCGCTATATCGGAGGCACGGCGCACGACGTGTTCCGTTTGATTGCGCTAACACTGGACACCTCTCCTCGAATCCCTGAGTTCATCCGTGGTGGTACACTGAGTCCAGCGCGGCTCGGAGGAGGTTTAGCGGGCCCCGGCCGCGGAGCCTGGATCGCAGCCTCACTAGTCGCCGGTCCCCGGCCTCGGTCAGGCCTGTTCTGAGCAGCACGGGGCTCCATCCTGGCCGTTTAGCCGCCACCGTCGGGATGGCTGGAGACCGGCCGGGGTCAGGCGGTCACCAGTACAGCGGAGACAGCTGGAGACTGGCCGGGGTCAGGCGGTCAGCAGTACAGCTGAGACAGCTGGAGACTGGCCGGGGTCAGGCGGTCACCAGTACAGCTGAGACAGCTGGAGACCGGCCGGGGTCAGGCGGTCAGCAGTACAGCTGAGACAGCTGGAGACTGGCCGGGGTCAGGCGGTCACCAGTACAGCTGAGACAGCTGGAGACTGGCCGGGGTCAGACGGTCACCAGTACAGCTGAGACAGCTGGAGACCGGCCGGGGTCAGGCGGTCACCAGTACAGCGGAGACAGCTGGAGACTGGCCGGGGTCAGGCGGTCACCAGTACAGCTGAGACAGCTGGAGACTGGCCGGGGTCAGGCGGTCAGCAGTACAGCTGAGACAGCTGGAGACTGGCCGGGGTCAGACGGTCACCAGTACAGCTGAGACAGCTGGAGACTGGCCGGGGTCAGGCGGTCAGCAGTACAGCTGAGACAGCTGGAGACTGGCCGGGGTCAGGCGGTCACCAGTACAGCTGAGACAGCTGGAGACCAGCCGGGGTCAGGCGGTCACCAGTACAGCTGAGGCAGCTGGAGACTGGCCGGGGTCAGGCGGTCAGCAGTACAGCTGAGACAGCTGGAGACTGGCCGGGGTCAGGCGGTCACCAGTACAGCTGAGACAGCTGGAGACTGGCCGGGGTCAGACGGTCACCAGTACAGCTGAGACAGCTGGAGACCGGCCGGGGTCAGGCGGTCACCAGTACAGCGGAGACAGCTGGAGACTGGCCGGGGTCAGGCGGTCACCAGTACAGCGGAGACAGCTGGAGACTGGCCGGGGTCAGGCGGTCAGCAGTACAGCTGAGACAGCTGGAGACTGGCCGGGGTCAGACGGTCACCAGTACAGCTGAGACAGCTGGAGACTGGCCGGGGTCAGGCGGTCACCAGTACAGCTGAGGCAGCTGGAGACTGGCCGGGGTCAGGCGGTCAGCAGTACAGCTGAGACAGCTGGAGACTGGCCGGGGTCAGGCGGTCACCAGTACAGCTGAGACAGCTGGAGACCGGCCGGGGTCAGGCAGACGGGGGTCGGGCGGGGGCCGGGCGTCAGGCGGCGGCCAGTGGTCAGGCAAGGGTAGGGGGTCAGGCGGTGTCCGGGGGTCAGGCGCCCGGGGGTCAGGCAGAGGTGAGGGTCAGGCGGTCGGTAGCACGGCCGGCTGGTGTCGGGTCGGCTTGCTGCCCCGCCAGCTGGCGAGCAGCGCCACCAGCCGCCGGCCCAGCGGCGAGTGGAAGAGTCGCAGGTACACCTGCGGATGGGATGAGCGGTGGCCGTGGGTCGACACCGAACACGCTACCGGCGGACGCTCGGTGAGAGCAATGTCAGCGCCTCCGCCGGCGAAGAAATGTTCATTTAGGATCCCTCCGTACGAATGGACAAATCATAGAAAACATGTGTGATGCATCATTGCAAGGAATGTAACATTA